TATATATATATATATATAACATTCAATCAAGAAAATGTATAATATCATCAAACACATTACAATAGCAACCTATAGAGAATTAGGAATTATGTCACTACTCACAATCTTCAAACATGCTCACATGTGAGACAATCTCACACCCCTTTTATACCTTAAATGGTTATGTTTGAATACATATTAAGTTTAAGTCGGTACGTACAATTACTCACACAATCATTAAAATTGTGTATTTTATAAAAACATAATATTTTTCTTGTGTAAAAGTATTAGAATTATTCTTTGTTCCAGCAAAAAAATATTTGTGGATCTGGATAGCAATCAAAATGAAAGTCGATGAGCATGGCATGGTGTAGTAAAAGGTGAAAAAGCTTTCCACAATTAAGGTGGAATGACAGCTAGAAGCACTCTGGATCTGCCACCTTCCTCCATACAACCAAATCAACCACCACGTAACCTTCAACTCATGCATGCCCCACGCCACGCATTATTTTATTTCATGACACGTCTTCTCTTCTCTTTTCTCAACTTTCTCTCGTCTCTTTAAACTTGAATCTGCCTCCTTTTGTAGGGACAAAATGGGCCCTCGAGCTATACCAACATTTGTCATTGCCTTGTCACCATCTCTTGTAATTCATTACATTGTACTATCAATGTATTTTATGTTTACTTCATAATTAGAAATATTATAACTAATAGGAATGGCTTAATAGTAAAGGTTGAAGTAGCATCTATAAATTTCTATACGTTTCAACTTTATTCTTATATTTTTTTACAAAAAAAAAAAATTTGTTATCATTATAATCTTTACGGATAGATTTTTTCTTCCAGGAATGTTGTTAATATTGGGAAAAATCCAAGTCTCACATTGACTACGGATAGATTTTTTCTTCCAGGAATGTTGTTAATATTGGGAAAAATCCAAGTCTCACATCGACTAGAGATTAGACAATTGAATAGTATATAAGTACAAAACAACCCTCACCTTACAAGCCAATTTTGTAGGGTTGAGTTAGACTTAATCCACTATTTTAAAATAGTATCAAATTTATCATAAATTCTTAAAAAATGGGCTGTCCATCATTGATATATGCACTATAAGCACGAGGGAGTATTAGAAAAAACTCAAGTTTTACATCGACTAGAAATTGAAAAACAATCATTATCTTACAAATCGGTTTTGTAAGGTTGAGTTAGGTTTAAGTCACTATTCTAAGAATTAATAAAATTAAATTATTTATTTCAACTAACTGTAATAAAATATTCTATATAATTTTTATATTTTATGGAAGACAATATAATTCATTCTATAAATATATAAAATCAGAACCATTTATTTAAAAGTAACTCGTTAATTACATGAATTCTAATGATTTAATTATTAAATTAAATATTTTTATTAAATAAATTAAATATATAAATTTTATTAAATTTAAAATTATTTGTCACTTTATTAAATATATTTAAATTAATAATTATTTATAAAAATATAGTATATGTTCATTTAAATTTATGTAAAAAAATATTAAATTTTACAAAAAGAAAATTATAGACTTGATATATTATAATTGTTTAATAAAGATATGATAAGTTCTTTTGTTATTCCCATTTTTTTCTTTTTACTTCTCAACTAATACACAACCATCTTATTATTGTAAAATTAACTGCAAATTCTTTCATTTCATTATTTTGATTTTTCAAACAACATAAAAGCATGGAGAGCCTTTTTTTTTTTCTAATCTAAACTAATAAAAAGGGATTACTCTACTTAAATGTTAACGTTAATTTTTTTTATTTTACTCATAATAACAATATAATTTTTAATAACTCAAAGAGGGAGGGAGTAGGTGAGAAGTGAGAATGAAAGCAAGTAGTCCCACCGCAAGTACACCCCAATGACTATGAAGTATGAAGGCCCAGGCCTCCTCACGAAGCGGCAGCACGTGTCCCCTCTCGAGATTCGCGGGTAGCAGGTGTCTCCGCTCCCGTCCCCTGAAGGGGCGGCACGTGGCGGGGTGGGAGCCTTGGATTGGGAGATTCTCATTCTCCGTTGCTCGATAAGAAAGGATTTAGCGGTGCAACCTTGGTTAACGGTCCCATTACGTGTCGCTAACCGCCATCCCCGGCTTCTCGGGTTCCCCCACGTGTCCCTCTCTCCCATTTTTAAAGACCAAAATCAACAACAACAACAACAACAACAACGTACCACTCTAATCTAACTCACCATGGTCCAAGTCGAAGAGATTGAGCTTGATTTGGGGTTGTCCATAGGGGGCAACCACATCCACATGGTGGAGGAGAAGGCCGCACCCCACCACCACCACAAGCGCGACATTCAGGCTCTGCCAAGGATGGAGGCCAAGAAGAAGCGCCAGCAGAAGAGGGAGCGAGAACCCCAATGGGAACACCAACACCAACACCCTTTTAAGAGATCCACCCCTCTCCACCACTTCACCTTCCCCTTTTGCCTCCCAACCCCCAACAATCTCGCCGTTAACTCCTCTTCTTCTCCGCTTTCCGATTACCAAACCTCTTCCCGTGAAGGTTTTCTTTTTCATTATCAACTTACCTTTTTCATTCTTTATCATCATTCCCTCATTGCATCGGAAACGCTTCTTCTAAATATATATATACACAACAATTTTTACTTGTTTGTAAGATAGTGTATCAACTAGTTATTGTTGCATATATGTTCTCCAAGGCAGAACAACATAACCCAAAAAACCTAGATAATTTTGTACCAGTATTTTCGAGTCACCGCATTTTTTAAACAAAAAAAAAAATACTTTTTTTAATTTCATAATGAATCATTAAAATAAATGTGAATCATCCTTATCTGAATCTTTGAACACTAGCATTGTCTAATCCCAATTCTTTCTTACTTACTCAAATTGCTTCCAATTGCATTGAACACCAGTTAATTCAGGTTGAGTGAGTGAGAAATTAGTGTCAAAAGTGTTGTTTTTCCTTTTCAATCCGAAAAGGTAAACTTCATTGGAAAAAAATAAAATAAAAGATTTTTTGCTACATAATATATCGTGCTCACTATTCTTGCGTTTTGGGTTTCTTTATCATGTCATTAAACATTTGAATCTACGCATAACAAGCGTCATCTCACGTACTATTTTTATTCAACAACTCTGCTTACCATCGCATTAAAACCTTGCCTTTTAATTTGTCACATTTTGACAAAGATTTTGTACCGAGTTTTAATTATAAAAATCATCTCATTGCAGAATTTTCAACTTTTCCTAGGGATATAACTTTAACAATTATTGTTTGATTTTGCCAGAAGGTGGAAGCAGCGACAGCCAGAGCCATTCAGTTCATTCGTTGGCAGAAGCAAGCCAGATGAAGAATTGCAAGGAAATGAGCATAGGAAGCCAAGCTGAAGAAAGTGGTTGTGCTTCATCTTACCCTATGAGACCAGAACAACGAAACAACACCCAAGAGAGAAAGCACATTGTTTTGGAAACTCAAGCAAAACCAGCCGAGCCACAGAAGCAAGAAACAACTCCCACAAGCATCGTTGCACTTTCAATTGAAAACTCAAGCACCAACACCAACACCAACCCCTTGGTGGAGACTAAAGTTGACATAACAGGAAAGCCACCACAGCCCCTCTCTCAAGCCTCTTCGCTCCCTCAAATGCCTTACGTGTCCACAAAAGGAACCAATGGGAAAACCGTGAATGGGTTTCTCTACAGATACACCAAATCTGAAGTTAGCATTGTTTGTGTCTGCCATGGAAGCACATTTTCACCCGCGGAGTTTGTGCAGCATGCAGGGGGCACAGACATCTCACATCCTCTCAGACACATCACAGTAATTCCTTCTGCCTTTGGCTGAGGCTGATCCTTTTTTTATTTTTTGGTTTTGTTCTAGGCCTTTTCTTCTGTTTTGTGTCTGAGAGAGATGCAGAACTAGAATCTGATTCAAGTGACTTATGTGATCTTTAGGCAGAGTATATATTTTCGTCAAGTATGCTAACTGCATTAACAATCAGTTACTCTAACCGAGATTGTTATCTTGTTTTAGAGAGTACGCTAATTAGCTTCTATTTTATGTTAATAATTCTCTTATTTTCTTGGGTTAAATATGATTTTCATCTTCTCTTTAAAAGAATATTGTACTTTTGTGTTATATATGATTTTGGTTTTAGTTCCTTTTCCCTCTGTGTTATATATGATTTTGGTTTTAGTTGCTTTTCCTTACCCTCCCCTTATTACTTATTGTTTGGCTCATCGTATTTAGGGTACTGTCTATTTTGACCGTTATTGTCTATAGTTGTTGTATTTGAAATATTGTCTATGGTTGTTGTATTTGAGGTGTCGTCTATTTTTATGATGTTTGTTGAGTTTATCTTTTAAAAAGTTTTTGATGATTTAAAAAGAAAAATATTTTTAGTCTCAACTCTTAAATAATATGAGATTTTTTAGATATACGATATTTTTTTAGATATACGGGAACAAGTACCCGTCGATCTTAAGTTAAGGGTTCCCGTCGATCTTAAGTTAAGGGACAAAAGTGATTTAGACTTTTTTAAGACTAAATGGATAAGAGTGACTTAGATCTTTTTATTAAGAATAAATTAAGGAGGGAGAGTGTCCAATCAATCTTAAAGGATAAGAGTAGTTGAACTTGTTTAGATATATACGTTTTTAAATATATCCAAACAAGTTTTCAATCAATAAGTATATTGGATTTTTACGATTTTATCTTTAAAAACTTTCTCTTAAAGAAAGAAAGTGTTTATAAATTATATTTAATTTTGACAATAATATTTAATTTTGACAATAATGTGGGATTTTTTAAATATGAACTATGTGAAATTTTTTAGGTAACAGATCTTATTTTGTTTTGCTGTAATCCAATGTTTATTTCTTAACTCGCTTTGAATTACGGTTTGGCTTATGTTTTATGTTACTAATTTTTTTTAGGTTAAATACGGTTTTAGTTAGTCTATTTTATGATACAAATATTTTTTAGGTTAAATATGATTTTAATTATAGAGTTTGTTCGGATATAAGAATTTTTTTTTAGGTTAAATATGATTTTAATTATAGAGTTTGTTGGGCATCTTGGTACCTATTATATTTTATCTATTTTTCTCTTTTTGTCTTGAATAGCCTACATATTTTGTAGGTTTGATAAATTTAAGAAATTGGCGCAGCTGTTGAACTCGTGTCAATTACTATAGTAACACGATGGTTGTAAAGAGTAGGACTATGTTAAACAGCGACAATACTAGTGAGTAGTGATCAACGGAAGTGACGATATGATACTAATGATAATCAACCATAATAATGATAACGATTAACAACATCGTGTATGTGGGGGGACGAGATGATATTAATAAAATAAAAAATAAAAAATTCTTTTGCAGTCGTGTCCTTCATTTTTTTTTTAATTTTTGTTTTAGATTAATCTGATTTGTTTGAAAAATAAATAATTAGTCAATAATTTTTTCTACTAATGATATAATAATAGGAGATATTTTTGTCCTATGATATATTAAATAATTAAAATTATAGTTTTTATTGTGTTCATCTAATTTATCATATAATTTATCCTGTCTCGTGATTTTTTTATAAGTTAAAAAAATAATTATATTTTAATTATCATTTCTAACAAATCATTGTCGAAATTTTTTCATTCAACTCCACAGTCCACACCACAAATCTTTCACCATTCAGCCATTTATTGGTCTACTTGAATATCTCTTTTACTTTTCTATCCTTAATTATATTTTGGTGAAAATTAAACAGAAAATTCTGGCTTCAAAGCCCACACAATTGATTAAATGATATACCTTCTGGATCTATGCATAAAAAGATTCATTTCATATATAATATTTAATTTTTATAATTTTATATAAAATATATTATATTTATTAAAGCTTTTAATTATATTAAAGAATATTTTTAATTTTGAATTATTAAATAAAGTTGATTAAAATTAAATTTTATTTATATTTAAGTCTAAAAAATCAAAGTATTTTTTTACTTTATATTTATTTATATTTTTTTTATCTCACCTATATGTTTATCTTTTTATTTTTTTTTCTCTCTTGCTCTCTCACTTCTTTATCTCTTATACTCTATTTATTTTCTCCCTCGTTTCTCGTCTTCCTTTCTCTTTCCTTTTTTTTTTCCCTATTTCTTTTCTTTCTCCTTTCTTATTTTTATCTTTTCTTTCTCTCATGTACACACACACACTCTCTCTCTTCTATCTCTCTCTCTCTTCATCTTGCTATCTTTCTATTTTGTCTTTTCTCCTTTTCATTTCTTTTTGATATTTTTCCTCTCATTCTCATTTCTCTTTCAAAGTTGACATAAAAAAATATCAATAATTTTTAATTATTAAATATTCATTTTTTAAGAATTATTAAATATTATTTAATTTTAATTTTTAAAATTATTAAAATTTTAAAATAGCTAATATTTTTTTTAAATAAAAACTAATGTTAAAATATCAATATATATATATATATATATATTATTCATTTTTACCTATGATATAAATTAAATTACTACACTCAAATTAAGAATTTAAATTATTTTATCCAAAGAAAATATTTAAAAAATAATAAAAATTAAAATCAAAGTAATTTAAATTTTAAGAATTTCAAAAAAATGTCATCCAAACACAGTTATGCTCTCCTTCTCTCACCTCATGTTCTCTCTTGAGTCATGACCAATGCCACCTCAGTTTGGTTTCATACACCAGTAGGCCTCTATTTGGCCCATTTCATTCTCACAAGCTTTCCTTTTCCTCTTCTCCTATAGTCCCATACACATACATACATGCATAATGGGCCTAAAAGCCAAACTTTTGTTTTAAGAAACACATCAACCTTTTAGTTTTTAAAAATCCTCATTATTTTCATCCCACTAATTCCAAATACTTATCATTTAATTAAAATAACATTCATTAAACAAGTATACTATATTTCACTTTTACACAAAAACTAAGGTGTCACCTTCGATTACTTACCCTTTCAGCATAATCCAACATTTGAGTTTGGCTTGAACCCAATCTACATATACAGGAAAATATACATGATAATTTGCAATCACGTAACAAATCACATGTTTATGAAAGCTCTCTGGTAATTACAATGTTATTTATTCAAACCGGATTTCGTAAAACCAAGTCTACCAATGAATAGAAACCCAAGTTCCGAAAATTTTAACAACTTTCACTTGGTTGAAAAAAACATATCACACGGGGGGAATGAACAGGCAAATTATTTCCATATGCTTCAAATTGATGAAGGAAAGAAGCTGACAAACAATGCGAAGTTCCCACTTTGAGAGAAAAAAAACAGTTCAAGGAAAATTGGAAGTAGCAACACTAAATTCATTAACTTTTAGCAGAATCAGCATCTATTAAATAACATTATATTGTAGACATTATATATTAACAAAAAGAAAAACGAGAACTACTATACTAAACAAATATTTTACAATTGATAAGAGGCAAGGACTTTTCCTGCGTCAGTTTGGATGTTCGTTAATGTATAACCTTTGAATATGAAAGCTATTTGGCAAATCATTCTTGTGGCAGTAGACACAGCAGCAACAAGCCATGACCGTTCAAAGGCCAAAATTGCAGGCCTGGACAAACTCTAACTCATGATCAACATACTTTGTCCAAAGGGGCTTGAATTGAGTCATTGCAATGTCAAGCCATGGTTTCATGTTACCATTGAAGTGCACCACTGCAGCATTCGTGATATCATCCATGCTAATGCTTGGGTTATAACCAAGCCCCAGAACATGCCATGACTTGTCCAATGGCTTTGTTGTTGAGTAATATGTAATTAGACCTGGTGGCAATGTCCCCAATTTCCACAAGGTCCGATTTTCGTTCTGCGGCAGTGTAAACATATCCAGTTAAATATGACAAAGGAAAGTAATAGTATGATGCAGGATTGTATTTCAGGAAGATCACAAACTAAATGTATGCAACCTCTAGCATCATTGCTAGTGCTGCATCAAATGGTTTTAAAAAAATAATTTAATACTTGAGTATGGATCTGTTTGGATAAATTTCTCCGGAAACACTTCTAGGAGAAAAAAAATAGGAAGGAAAATCAAAATAAATTTTCCTATAAGTTAAAACTAACTTATGTATAAGTTAAAAATAAAATTTTGAAGAAGCTAATAGAAGAAAGCTTCTATAAAATAGTTTACGATAAGCTAATTTTTGTTTATGAAGAAGGTTATTTCATTTTCCTTTTCTATTTTGCTCTCCTAGAATGCTTTTTGGAGAATTTACCTAAACAAGCCCTATGTATGTAATACTTAGTATTCATTGAGAATGTAAATATTAGGTACGAAAACATTAAAATTAAAAGCTTTTAGTCTTACCAAATTCTGCCAGTAATGATACTCTTCTGTGCATTTTTCCCTTCTCCAAGCATCCAAATCAAAGAAATTCATCCCATAAGCCCATGCACATGCCTTTGGATTGAACTTTGCTTTAATCAAGGGATGTGAGAAATTCATGTATTGTGCATATCTATGGAATGACCCAAAACATGTTTCTACAGCTCCATTCACCTTGCCATCCATATCAATCTTCCATAAACCAGTAAGGTCCTTCTGAACCACTATGTCATCATCCAAAAACAAAATTCTATGCAGCTTTGGATACATTTCTGGCAAGTAGAATCTCAAGTGGTTTAATATTGACAAATATTTAGGATTCCTAAACTTCATATTTGTCGAGTCCTTTGTGGCATTCTCAAGCTTGTTTTCAAAATAAAACCTCTGCAGGTTAGCAGACTCCAGCTGCCGAAGCACAGGCACATAAGAAGAATTCAGGAACTTGTAATCTTCAACTGCCTTAACCTCAATGTGTGCTCCATTATAATCTTTCAACTTAAAGATCACTTGCATCGCTCCAAGATTCATCTTATCCGTCACAACATGAAACACATGCTTCCACGGTTCCTTCGCATTCTTTGTTGCCGAATTGACCACCACTGAAGCTGCAATAACATTATCAGAGAAAATAGCATAGTGGTACAAATTAGGATCTTCAAACTCTGAAGGAGTAGGCTTTCCATCATCCGAATACTTCTCTGGATGCGCAATCCTTTCCTCCATCAACCGCATCGCAAGACAATGCAGGCTTTTGGGGATTGACTTGGCTGCAATCAAGCTAGAAAAAGCTCCCTGCTTCTTTGCTTTCGTCAATTGCTCATTCACGGCGAAAATCGTATCCTTTAACTTTTGAATCTTGAGCTGATTATCAAAGGACTCTTTGGCTTCACCAATCAGTTGGCGTGAGATCTTAATTCGCTCCTTCACTTCCTTTTCCAATTTGTGAAGCACCGATTCATCAATTGGACTCGCATCAGAGGTGAAAAGGGAACTGTATTGGGGTTTGTTCATAAGACCTGAGAAGTCCCCCGAGAGTTCAGAAAAAGTCCTTACAAGCTTGGAACTCTCAAGTTTGTGCTTCCTTGCATAGGATGCATACACCAGAGCTAGAGCACGATGATCTTCAGTTTGCTTACGAATATGATCCAACCGTGGCTTCAGGGGATCCTTATTCATAGCAAGCATGGATCTCCTTATTGATTCAAATCTATGTTCACCCCAATCAGAACCCTGGTTCAGAATCACAACTACAAATTAATCAAATCTCTTCCATTATCCAGCAATAGAGAAACAAACATAAATATACTCTTTTCAGTAATATTTCCATTCAGTTTTTCAATTTTGTTTCCCGAGAAAATAACCAAACAACAAATTAATCTGGTTCTGTCATGGTTTTCTTATTCCATACTCTTCTTCCACATCTTTCATTACCCAGAAAGGAAATAATAAATAAACAAAAAAAGAAACTTTTTTGTTAACATTTTCCCTTTGTTTCTCGAGAAAATAGCAAAACAACAAATCAATCTGGTTCTGTCATGGCTTCCTTACACTCCTCCAATCTCTCTCAAATTCCAGAAAGAAAATAACAAACAATGATAATAAAAAAATTAAATTTTTTTTAGTAGCATATTCACTCAAATTTTCTGTTTGTTTCCCGAGAAAATTCGCGCACACCAAATCCCCACTGGAACCTCATCCACTTAAACACTAATACAAAGACCAGTTTTTTCTTTTAATCACACATACCCAGAAACAAAAACAGACACAAATCACAAAACTCATACTTTACCCAAAAAAAAAAGAAAAACTTTTGATTATCGGGAAAATTACCCAGAAAGAAAGTCCAGCAATAAAATAAAATAAAAATTAGAAGAGCTTTGAGAAAAATGAAGCTTACAGTGTTGTGGTGATGAGTGGAGTAAGAACGCATGGTGAAGAGAATAGAGAAAGTGAATAAAACGCAGAGAGCAATGGAAATTGCGGAGGCCAAGACTGTGAAGGAGAAGCGGAAGCGTGTGTTACCTCCGGTGCCAAAGCGTGCGGTTCGAACATTCCCCATTTTGTGATTTGGTGAAAGGAAGAAGACACTCACTTGGACTAGATATAACATGCACACACCACATTTTCTTTATTTTTTTCACAACTGTTTCCGCGTTTCACATTCAGAAAAACACAACCAGTAACACTAACTTTACTCTAACAAACCCCACTTACATTAATCTTTAAATACTTCTTTTTAAGGAAACTTTATACATTATGCTCAATTTACACTATCTCAACTCTTTCTTATAACATCTAGATAATTAATCAAAATTTAATTAGGTGAATAAATATGTCTTAGATTTAAAGTTTGCATTTCAAGAAAATACAATAAAATCATTTATATTTTAAAAGATATAAACTAAATGAATTTTACTTACTTTTTTAATTTAATAAATATATTTAACAAAAACATTTTTTTAAAGAATAAATTAATTTTTTAAGACATAATAGATTAACACTTTGTATTTTTATGAACTTTAAATTAACAATATATTTTTTTATATCCTTTTAAATTATTCAAAACATATATATTTAATTAAGATGTTATTTGATTTTTCTTATATAAGAATTTTTGTTATTAGTGTTTAAAGACTAATAAAATTTTTATATTTTATATACATGTTATGTAAGGAAATCGAAAGTGGCGATGATTGTAAGTTGTAACGCGGGGTTGACTGTAGGATGGTTTGTTGAAGAAGTGGGTAGATTATTATGGAAGTAACTGCAGATCCTGAGTTTGCTATCTAGCTGTTTCCAGTTATGTTATATGTATCCACAAATTTTGGCCTAAAATAACTACTATCTCCTTTCTTTTATATATTTATAAAGACTAATTATTTAATTTATTAAGATTACAAAAATACTTAATTTAATTTATAACCATAAATTTGTCTAATTTATATTTTTTTTCTTCTAAAATTACTCTTATACTAGTTCTATTTTCTAATTATTACTAATATATCTTCAAATTAATTAGAGTACATGTTATATATTATTTTTTAATTAATATTTATCTTTTTTCTAATTAATTAAAGTGTATATTTTAAAAAAAAATTATAATTAATACATTTCACTAAATAAAACAAACATACTTTATTAAGAGTAAGAATATATCTTGCACAAGTATAGGCATATACAAAAATATGAATAACATCTAAACACGCACAGTCACATCTCAATCTCCGCATAATTAATCCATATCTCAGTCTCAATTCATACACTTTTACTTCACAAAATAATAGGACTAATAGAGGCTCATGCTCTTAATTCTATATACTTGTAGTATCGTTCTCAAAATTGCTCAAGGCTCTTATAAATGGAGTAGTCTAGGAGCATATGGACAAAACACATGGCTATTACACAATGGGCATCTATCTCAACAATCAACATGATCCACTCTCACTAAAATGAATTCTATTAGGAGTTAGTCAAGGTATCATAGTTGGCCATGCTTACCTCCATATGGTATTAGAGATTTCCCACCATAACACTTTGGGACCATTGTAGAAGATCATAAAGACCTTCACACATAGAAATGCAATCGCTATGCAAAATAAACTATGTATATATGCATGGACTCTAATCACATCACACAACAATCAAATGCAACATAGTACCATCGTAATTCTTCATCACACTACTACACCTTGTGTCTAGACTTCCCCAAATGACCAATCTATTCTTGGATTTTCTTGCTATCAAGCCTATGCTTGGACATTAGGTCTATCAACCAATCTATTTCCAAATACATCAACATCTCAAATATCATGTTACATCACGCATTAGGTTTATCACACAAGATATCTCATAATTTATAATCTCTTTAGTAATTACAATTCTTATCTCCTTTTTCTCTCTAATTATGCAATTATGGCTCTTGCTCACTTTTCTTATTCCATTCATTATTTATACAAGTATTATGAAAGCTCTCAGATTCAACACTAAAAGCCAAGGACACTCTCGTGTATGACAATCCTCGATCTTGCACCTGACACAACATCATCCATGCGTGATGTCAAGAGGTCAGAGACCACTTTGGTTCATCTACACCTAGCGTGGCATCCTCCACGCCCACCACGCCCAGTGTCAAGGGATTAGGACCCCTGCAGTACTTTCTCACTGGGCATGGACATGACGACACCCAATGTAAGACATCCAAAAAATAAACATCAAATAGCACTTGATGATCACCCAATATGAAGAGGTTAAGGATCTCTCTATGGCTCCTATGCCTAGTGTAGCACTTCCCACACCCAACATAGAGAGGACAAAGCCTTTCTGCCCTTGTCACACCCTATGCCATGAACATGCGCTTGTGATCGAAAGAGGGCTAAAATTATATGAGGAGAGATTTTGCTCCCCTTTTCCCTACCCCTCCCCTCCAATCAAACACTATGTTATGTGAGACTTCTAACTGATACCAATTCATAAGTGCATTAAAATCTAGAACAATATTGTATATCATGAAATATTATGTGTTTGAATTATAACTTTTATATTGATATGTATGCTTATGTGTGTATGGGTTGCCTTACCTTTATTTTACATTGAGAGTATATAATGAGATTTATCTCACTCCCATATGTATGTTTTGTTTGTATTGGGTTGGTTGTCATTCGTTGATAAGGATTACTTAAATGTTGATGTTAGAGAAGAGAATATGACTTCAACTTCAATGTTTTGATGTTATTTTTTTGTTTACCTTATTTTGATAGGATTGTGTCATTGGTGCTTAGGTTCAATTTAATTATATAGATATAAAAACTTTTATGCAATACATAAGGTGAAATTCTTATAAAGAATAATTTATTTATCTTTGTACAGATTTTATTTAAAGTACAATTATTTTTTTTATCAAGTATAATTATAAAAGTATTTTGATTCTAAAAGATAGTTATAAAAAAAAATTTCTTCATGAAATGTTTAAAATAACTCTTCAAAATAATCAAAATTTTGATATTTTAAAAAAATGAAGCTAACTTTTTCCCCAAAATAAAATTAGTTTTTCATATAAAAACTATATAAGAAAGTGTCTGAAAACAAATTCTTGCAAAATAGCAGAGTGAGTGCAGTCAATGGTGGGCCAATGTAGGTTGGGTTAGCCCAATTGGGGAGAACTCGTCCCCTAATCATTTCCCAAGTCCTTCACCAATTCTCTCACTCGAGTCACACACAAATCGATCACTATCAACGACTGCACCATAACATAAACCCTTCAAATCAAACAAAGCAATCGTAGATTGAAAATAAACAATGGGTTCGGGGAACGAAGAAGCCCCAGATTCAGGACTTAACAATTCGCCCCCTTCACCTTCTTCCTCTCACGGTCGAATCGTTATTCCAACCCTCCTTGCAGGTTCCCTCTTTTATATTGATTTTCCTGAAAATCAATAATTAACTTTATTACTTTAATTTCTATGTATCGTCATTTGAACCGATTAGAAATAATCATTAATATGACTTTTAAGTAGTTATCCTTTGATTTGTTAGTAAACACAATGTTTATACACTCAATTAAGTTAAAGGAGCTAATGTGGTCTATTTAATTTAAATTTAAGTAAAATTAATAACATAGACTCACATGAGTTTGAGGATTTAAGGATAGATAGAAAGAGGGAGAGGTTAGAAGTGTTTGTATGTATTTATGGTGTTTGTGATTTTTTGGGAGCAGGGGTTGCTGGTGCTGGAGCTGGCTTAATTTCAAAGCATCGAAAAACTCTTGGTCTTGCTTATGTGTGTTCTAGCTATGCTGCCAATTTCGCCATCGTCACGGGTTGCTATTGCGGTAATTGTTGTGTTGATTAATGTGGCGTGTTCTGAATTGTGACCGTATTTGTTTGCTACTGGTTTTCATGGACTTGGACCCTTCTCGTTTTTTCACATGACAGTATCATGTTATGGGAGAAAGCTAGGAAATTTTTGTTGCAGAGGCAGAAGCAGTTGATGCCTCTCTCTCTCTCTTTTAATGTATTTCCATGTTTTATAGACAATTGAGAAGATCCAAATGTGTTTGGTTAATTAGATGGATTTTATATGTTTCTGGCTTGAGCTAGCCCTGATTTAGTTTGTCTGCATTGCCCACTTATAAAGAAGTGAAATATGTTATATTGTGTTGTAGTGTGCTGTCTATAAATTGGAGCATGGAGAGTGACCTCCATTTTTTCCCATTACCTCATATATATAATTTTACTATTAGCCTTATGAAATATTTTGATGAAGAAGATAGGTAAAATTTAAGTTTTGTTTGAAGTAACGTTTTATCAATTAGAAACAACACACCTTCAAACATCTTAGGAAAAATGTTCTTTAGATGTTCTGAGAATGATAAATGTGAACAGCAAAATAGAATTTTCTATTTGCAGAGCAATATTATATTTAGATTTCAGGCATAGATTCTTCATACAAATCATGTTAAGAAATCCATAATAATTAATAATACTCATGAAAATTTGTCACAAGGAAGGGAGACTGTAATCAGAGAGCAACCAATGTTGCAGTTCTGCTGATAAGTTTGCCGCCATAAGGAAACATACTTTGATGCACAGAAAGGATATGATCTAATAAATACCTGGTTATACAGTGTTAATTTTATAAAATGCCTTGCAAATAAAAATAACATAAACTAATGGTAATAATTCAATGTATGGCATGTCCAGAGGAATTCTCAAAGGATATTTTAACTGTAAACTTTGATGGAGAAAGATGGGAGATATTGTGGGCAATAAATAAACATTGAGCGACTTCTGTTATGTAAAGAAGTGAAATAAAAAACAAACATGATGTGAATTCTATATAACTTTGCTATTAATTACCTTATTTTCCCTTGATTATAGCTTTTTGGTATTTGAATGAATTTTGTTGATCTCTACTTGCTCACCTGAGAAGAGACAATAATTTTAACAGAAAATCAAGGTTTTTTCTTTTGTATCTTTGCCACCATTTTGTAAGTTCTTTCCAATTGCTTGGGTGGGGTTTCACTCTACCTTCCCTTTTGTTGAATTGAGGCTCTAGAATAATAAGTTAACTACAAAAGTCTTAACCTACCAAGTGAGGTTGGCTACACGGACCACAAGACGCCATTTAGTTTAGTTAAAGACCAACTCTTTAATTTAATCTCTAGAATATTTGGTTTTATCTTTAGATTTCATGTATTTAATCCAAGGATTCATGTTCAACTCGTCTATAAGGATTTTTGTTAAATTATATTTTATAATGTTAAAACCAATGAATTTATCTTGCTATTAGATCACACTTCTGTCTATAAAATATTATTTTGCCTAATTTGTCAGGGGCACGTGAACTTGTGACTGCAACTAGAAAAACAGGGCCTGATGATTTATGGAACTCTGCAGCAGCCGGATTTGGAACTGGTGCTCTTCTTGGGCGCCTGCAAGGTTTAGTTCTGCTTCCATCTATAACACTTTTACTGCCTGCTTTTGAATTTTGTCAGTCGTATTATCTGATCCATCTATTTATCACCTCTAACCTTATGACAATGCTTATAGGAATAAGTTGATCAAAGATCAATAAAGTTTTCCCAGATTGTTTTAATTTAGATAAATGCATTACTTGGTGAAGTGCACGTACATAATTGTTGCTTACATTGGTGAGGGATAAGCTCAAAAGGTTACAAGCATTAAAATTTCTTTTCATTTTTGGAATTTTAGGAGGCCAACTTGGTGCAATCCGGTACTCTGTCATCTTTGCTGTTGCGGGGACAACAGCAGATTTTGCTATTCTGAAATTGAAAGATGCTTTGAAAGATCACACTAAAACAATATACCAAGACATTGAGAATTCAAAGAAAAGTGGAACTTGGTTAAAATTGCCGGAATGGTTCCCAATTCGAGTACTTGACGAGGAAGCCCTTGCTGCAAAACGTGCTCAGGAAGAGCAGTTCCGTGAGCAGAGAGCAAGGATTCGCAACCTAAGGGAAGAAGAATCTTGAGAACTTCAAATTTTTGTGGATGTTTGCCCTGATCTTGGAGTGAGGCAAACTCCCACCCTCTGAAGCTTTTTGTATACCCAATTTTATTATATTAAATTTTGTAATAATGTACTTCTCAAGCTGGATGAGCAATGGCTTCAGCAGAGATTTTGAAAATGTTGAGATTAAGATACCAGTCTTCATTTGGATTCTCTAATGATTTTGCCCTTCGCAGGGTTGACAATGTCCAGTAACTACATGAGAAAAACCTATAAATAGTAGAAATGATTGTTTTGTTGTATTATGACTTTTAAATTCTTGATAAAATTGCTTCATATGACTCTAAATCATTTGGTCTACTAATTTACTTTGCTTTTGCTGCTACCTTAATCATTTGAGTTTATATTAGACGCCTAATATGATATGAGATGATTATGTGGTTGAGCTTCTACTGCAGACTAACTAGGGACCTGAATGAGGGAGAAGTTCTATCTGTAACTGTATGCTGTCCGCTTAATTTAATGATTAACGGTATAATAAAATTTTTACCTGTAAAATATCCCATTTGGTAGCACTTTTATCTTTCAGATACACTTTCAGAAAATTTGTTATATCATAGAAAAATATTGGCTTTAATATATTTTTAATCTTTAAATGTGGGGAATTTCAATTTTAGTGCTACAATTTTTACTTGTGTATATAAATTTTAAAATTATTGAAAGAAATATCTCTATTACTATTTTGTGATGAGATATTATATATTTAGACATGTTATACCATGTCTCTTTAGATTGATTGTTATTTTGTGATGAGATATATATTTAGACATGTTATATCATGTCTCTTGGATTGATCATTTTCATGACATATTTTGATACATTTCATGTCATTATTAAATAATAGTGGAGACTATTTAAAAAAAGTGAGAACCATTTTTTTTAAAGTCAAAATTTGCATCATCTATAAAAGTTAAAAACATTTATCCAAAAATATTTAAGGAGAAGGCTTGAGACATAAGAAAATAACCATTAGAGTCGCCTAATAAAGAGATTAGATAGATGTGTAAGGAATTAATTCTGATTCTAATTACTTGTACAGTTGTACTGTAATCTTTTTTTATAAATGTTACAAGTTGTTCGTTAACTGTGGTTAGTTGAGTTAATTAGTTGGCTTCTTGTATACTCTTATAAACACATGTAATCTTCTACATATTCTATCTTCATCTTTTTCATATTAATCAATACAATGAGTTGTTTCTATTGGGATCTCTTTTTTTTTTTTCTTTTTTTTTTTTTGAACTTTTATGATATGTGGCCACATCAAATGGGTGTAACTTGTATCACCCATCTTCAATATTCTGATAATACATTAAAAAACGATCTAATAGAAACTACAGTTGCAGCGGAAATATTGTAATTCATAAACGATCTTGTCGAGTTTAATTATTGAATTTGAAATAGAAGCATGAACATATTACACCACATACAGTGTATTGGTTCAATTATTTGATTGCAAATACAAAAGCTTGAGTTTATTATCCCTTGTTGCATTTGGGAGGGCAGGTGTTGTAGTAACAGAAGCAAGCAAAACCTAGGCCACGATGGTGACAAGCCCCGAAAACTGCGCTTTCCAATCGTATGCATTGATTTTTACAGCTATTCGTGTCTAAACATGGTCCAGACCATGTCTTACTACGGCATTGACAAGGTTGTGCTTCAACCTCTGCATATCACAACAAAAACTAAGTGAAAAACAATCGAGTCTAAGAACTTGTTTACAAAAAAAACACTTATAACAAAATAAAATACAAAAGATGAATAAAAATAAACATTTTTATAAGTTATAATTTGTTTATATATAAATTAATTTGTACAAACTTTCTTCTAATAGCTTCTCCAAAAAATATTATACATAAACTAATTTTAACTGACATGAAGAATTTAATTTATTTATTTTTTATTTTCTTCTCTTGTAATTATTTATGGATAAATTTATCCAAATGACTTTAAGAAAATAAAGTGCTAATAACACACTCTTAAATAAATCATTTTTAACACAATATGTAATCGGTTAATATTTATTAAAAATTATAAAAACTGTAAATAAAATTCATTAAATGAGATATATGAGACTCATAATTTCTATTCTAATATTCAGCTAACTGTAAAAATTGTGTTAAAAAAAGCGTGTTGAATTTGATGAATGAATAGTTAGTTGTAATTGTACCCGATGTGGACAAAAGGAAGGCAAGGCAGAGTAATACAAGGATCTTGGATAACCTTGGAGCAAAGGAAACCATGCTTATTGCTAAATCTATAATGTAAATGATGTCTTCTTGCATGTCTAATGCATGGCCTCAATTGTGTTATATATAGCTAAGCTATGCCCATTGCTAATACTCTTTCATGCTTTGCTTGTATCGCTTTTATATTTAGGATATGCTTTCTGGATCAATTAATTCTTCTTTTAATTTGCTCCATTAATACCTTGTTCTCGATATGAATCATAAGATTATCAAATTTGGATTATTTCTTACATTTGTGTCCATATGTTGGTCAACGGCATACGAATACGATCTCTAGTAATTTACTATGAGAATTTCGATTCTGATTACCTATGAAGGTACCCTTATTCCTTCAGTTGTCCACTTGTGAGCGTCTTCATATATGGACATTAATGTTGCATTATCTAACTTACACAAAAAAAAAATATTTATCTTTGTAAATTAACAATTTTGAGTATTAATATTATGGATCAATACTACTTTTACATAAAAAATAAATTGTAACAAATTTTACAATTCAAGAGAGAAAAAGTACGAAATAAAGTTGGTGATGCAACAAAGAGATAAAAAGAGATGAACTGTGATGAGAGTGTTGTAAACACTTGTTAGTAACATTATTCTCACAGTATCGATGTTGTATGGTAAATAGGTCCATATGCTCCATAGTAGTAACTATAACTTAATTATACCATTTTCCCACTATAAAATTGATGTTGTTATCTATCTATATATAAATTGGAAAAGCTATATTGAAAAAAAGTCATTTTTATAAAGTTATTTTTAAATGAAAATATTTTTACGGTTTTTTTTAGCAAAAGTGTTTTTGGATATCTTTTTAACCTTTTATTTCATTAACTAATTTTTTCATCTTTACTTTTAAATTGATTTCAATATTTTTAAAAGAAATTATCAATAACTGAAAATATTTTTCTTAACTTTATAGGTCACAATGTAAATTGTTTATTTGTCGGCTCATTGTCTCATTTGTCATGTTGTAGAGTTCATTTATTTTATTTTTGAAGTGTGAATGCAAAAGCAAATGTATTAGTGTAAATATGCACTAAATTGTCCTGAACTGAAACTCCTGATGATATGTACTCATAAATTGATCAAAGTCACAATTTTTTCATTACGTTAGATTCATGGGTAAGTGCTTTATATTGGAGAATGCATTAGTGTAAATATTGAACAACAATGACGATTTTTAAAGGCGATACAAGCGACGCATCCAAAGAATATTGAAGAATTAATTCTCTTGTATACTTGTATATCCAAGTCCAATCAAAAAGGACAAGTACACAAGCCAAAACAATGGATAAAGGTGAAGCCCCCGAGATGGAGTGTGGAGTTACATGCACAAAAGCTGAAATAAAAACAATCATATTGTCTTCGTCTTGCTATATATATTACCCAATCCATTTGGCACAAACTACGTGTAGTTGAGAAACACAATGAAAATTAAAGATGTACAGGAAGGACCCTCTCGGCCACGTGGACCGGCCACGTGGATCGACACGTCATGTCCTATCAGATATAGACGCAGCCCAAACATCACCTCGGCCTGACCACTTGGATCGGCCACATGGACCGACACGTAACATGACGCAGCCTAGATACCACTTCGACTCGGCAAGGAGTTCGAAGCTGTACTCCACCCCTATCGGCTCGGTCGAAAGCCGAGAGAAAACGTTTCGGTCGTTTTGTATCGGCTCGGCCAAAAGTCAACATTGAGTAATTAGGATAGCGATCATAGTTAACAAGGAACAAAGCACAATTAAGGCATAACCTGCCGATTAACACCGTATTACCTAATTTGGTAAGTGTCAGAATAGGCCCACCACCCTCAGGCCCATGTCAGGTGTTATAAATAGGTCGCTTGTAGTGAGGTATGTCACTGTTCATTTTAATTACCCTAGAAAATAGTGCTTGCCCTAACTTGAGCGTCGGAGTGCCTTATGCAGGTACCTCCCCCTTCTCCGAAGAGTGCATTAGAAGATCTCGTTCGGCCCTTCCCAACAGAAGATTGAGTGTGCCCTCTAACAGGTACAAAAGACATGGAACACGTGCAAATAAAACACAAAATTAAAATAGTGGTTTCACATTATCTACCATCACCCCAAAATTTCAATAAATATTCATTCATTTAAATACATCATGTACAAATGTTCTTTTGGACAAACTTAATTAGAAACCCTCCTATTATACAAAAATCCCCTCTCACATAAGGTGGCTCTCTCCCACTAACTCGTGACCCTCTCTCTCATAGTGCATGGATGATTAATTTGATCACAAGACTTCATATTTGTGAAAGATGAAATGACTTTGTTCACGATTTTCCATTATTATGATTAAAAGTTTTTCATTAATTTCTCAACATTACATTTATCATTTAATTTTTATATTTGCATTTTGTTGGAATATATAAACAAAGTCTCACATCATATATTAAAACAAGAGAATTAATGAATATGAATTTATAAGTATTCACAAACTAGTTTACTATATATAAAAACTGATTATTTATTGTATCCAAGAGTAATTATGTACCTCAAAATCATTTTTCATTAAATCTACCCAAACAAAAATTTATTACGATGATTAATTGATTATACATAAAGTCAATTGTTGAAATAAGTTGATTTTCACAACTTTTCCAAACATATATATCCTGAATTATGTGCTTAAGTGGATGTTAGAGATCGTCACTGATAACTAACGGTGTGTTTGCTTTAATGTTTTCTCTCTTTCTGAAACAATTGAATGTGACTTCAATAAATTGAAACTTTTATGATAAACGTGAGTTTTAATGTGAAAGCAAACACAGGCACCTCGTCCAACTTACATACAAGAAATAATTTCAACTACCCAAATACTTGATTCTATCCCATTTTATTTGAGTTTAAGGTTTAAACATAAGACCTAAGAAATATAACTAATATGTTTCAATTCATAAACTGTTTTTATGTAATTTCCTAATATACTTTTAAATCTTTTAGATTTCTACTAATAAAATAATTAGTATTGAAAAAGAAAATAATATTAATTAAAGAATGTATTAATAATGCTTTAAAATATAATAAAACACATTTAATATTATTACATATTGAAATTTTAAAACGAGGATTAAATTGAATGGAGAGATTATTACAAAATAAAAGCAATGCAAACAAACATCGAATATAAAATTGAGAATCACAATGAAGCGTGACAAGATTACTGAATGCATACATTCTGGAAAACAGCTACATTTATTATTAGTACGAACCCCATCCTGATTTCACCATACTCATTTCAGCAAGTGATGACAAGGCAACGTTTGATTTTGGCTGAAACCATCCAAGCTGTTCTACGAGTCTCTTCATAAAGGCTCCAGCTACATAAGTAAGAAGTGAGGCCAATACTCCAGAGGTAACATAAAACGCCACCGTTGTGAGGTATGTGACATAAGAATTACGTCTTTGGATATGAGCTTTGGCAATGCCTAGCAATGTGATACAAATGAGTGAAGTTGCTGCAACTGCTGCAAGCTTGAGATCCTTGTCATCACTCTCACTGAATGAGAAGCCATACACTATTGGGGGCACCAATCCAAATATAAGGAATGATAAGATAGCAAAAAAGGCATGTAGAAAGAAATTCTCCCTCTTCCCCAATAGTTCATAATATTTATCATTTTCTGTGTCTCCTTCACTGCCTTGCTCTCTTGGAGTTGGTTGTGAAGCTCTAAGGTCTTTAAGCTGTTAGCATACATTGGAATTAGTTTTGATGGAAATGAAGTAGAAGATGTAATGAAAATGAACACCAAAATATTAAATATACACTCAAAATGGCATCACAATTCACAAACACAAACCATGTTGCCAAATGTAAGACATGACTACTTACATTATGACCCAAGACTGAAAGTCCACCAATCAGATTTGCAATACCGAGAGCAACAATACTCACTGCAAACACAATTTGAGAAATTAACTTAACTGAGCACATCAAAATCATTTCAAGCAATGTGTATGAGATCCAACAACTAACGATGTTCAATGAATTGCATATAATTTTTTTAAAAAATATTTACAACAATATTTCTTATATATGATACTAATTGAGACTTGATTTAAATGCAAAGTATAAGAAAATAAGGATAGAGAGAAATTATACATGTGGTAGCATCAGCACTTGCTGCAGATGTCACAACACTGAGGCTTGCTAATAATTCAGCCAAACCACCGTAGACAACGCTTTTAAGAATTTCCCAACCCTTACTATCTTCTGGTACTGGCGGTGGTGGTGGCATTACCGGTGGTGGTGGATTTGTAATAGGTGAAACTGGTATAGCAATGGATACATCTTGCCCCGACCCTAACCATATATGTTCAACGAAAACATCATATAATTAATTTTCTTCATATGTAACTTAGAGAAATTATATTATAAAATTTAATATCATGCTTAATTATCACATATGTGGAAGACGACTCCAGGATTCAATCGTGGAAATATTCCTAATTAATTACTGATGACAAACAGTATGATCGACAAATCGTTTTCCTCTCCTCCTAATATTAATATAATAATATCAAATGGGTATTTCAATAATTCTCCTGTACCTTTATTATTCTCCCAGGGCCATCAATTATTAGACAAAACATAATTTAATAATAATGCAAACATACCCATATTTGACGAGGTGCAAAATAAATGCCATAACCTATACACTATAAAAGTTAAGAGTACATTGGGGGGAACAATTTTAGTTAATTTATTGTTTAGACTTAAATGTGTTATTGATTTATCAATTATTATAATTGTGTGATTTTAATTTTATAAATTTTAATTAAATAATTTTAGTCTTAAATTATTATTGTGCAATCTTTATCCCTAAATTGTTGATCGGACAATTTTAGTAGTTCAAATGTTACAATATTGCGATTTTAATATTTCTTATTAAAAATCTTGCATTTTGTTAACATGATGTATTAATATTTCTAATCAACTTTCTTATAATATATTTATATTTTTATAAAAATATATTAATATTTACTAATTTATTTTTATGAAATTATTTATTTTTATCTATAAATAAACTAATAATATATAATTGATATTAATTTATCAATGATATATATATAAATTTTATTTATTTAATAATAATAAATACATATCATTATAATTGAACGAAAATTATAATATATATAACTTAAATAGGTTACTAATTGTATAAGTTTAAAATATTATATATAATATAATTTTAAAAATTCATAGATTTTTAATGAAATAGATTAAAAGCGTACAATTATGATAATTAAGATATTAAAATTGTTAAATTAAAATTTAGAAGATTAAAATCGCACAACTGCAATACTTGAAAGTTGAAAGACTTAAATTATTTAATTAAAATCTTGAAGATCAAAATCGTACAATTATAATATTTGAAGATAAAAACGCAATTAAGTCTATTGTCTATTATATGACAAAAAATTATTTCTTTAAAATAAATTTATTTAATAATTTAGTTTTTTTAGATGCTATTTAAATAGTACTTGATCTTATATTTTATATGATCTGGATTTATAATTCTTAATTTTTCGTAATAAAAATTATTCTCGCTCTCATGCAGCTTATAGCTTAGAGTTGTTTAGAAATAACAATAAAATATAATAACAAAGATCCTAAATATTTAAACTAATTATTATTGAGAAAATGATTTTTATAGCTTACAGTTGTTTAGAATTAATAACAATCAAATATAATAAGAAAGATCTTAAATAATTATTATTGAGCAAATGACTTTTCCAAGTGTAGTGTTTGAAAAAATATTGAAACTTATAGACTAATTTGATAAAAATAATTAATTTATTTGATATATAAGCTTATTTTAATAACTTCTAACCTTTTTTTCTTTTTTATAAATTACTCCAATTAGACTATAAAATAAATTATCTCATAAGTTACTAACTTTATATATATATATATAATTAATTGATTTAAAATTTCCTTTTACATCAAATAAATAAATAAATATTTTATATTTATTAACTAGTTTATAAATCAATTTTACCAAAAAATTTCAACTTAATAAATCAATTTTAAATTTTAAATTTTAACTCCTAAAAATATAAAATTTTAATTAGCTTTAGGGTAATATTACCGAACATACCGATCATTATGATATATTGGAATAAAGCTTCTAAAATTATGATAAACTTTTCGAATATTTTATTCATGCACATGCATCTCGTTCTTTTTTCTAGTACAACTAGTCCTAGGTTCAAGAATAAAAAACTAATTACTTGCCGTCGCAATCAATGTTTCTTTATCACAATGGAATTTAGAATCTGTGCTAATTATTTTTCCTAATTTTTCATTTTAAAATTCAATTGACTTTATTTTAGACTTCAATAGATTTACATTAACTACAAATTTGCACTATTAATTCTTAACATTTTATATATTTTTAGAGTTTAACCGAGAATTAAAAAAAAATAGAACTATTAACATCAATCTAATAATAAAAGATGCAGATAATATACACATGGTCTTATTTAAAGTCTGTTGTTAATATAATTTTGATAAATTAAAACAATACTCGTTTTTAAGGTAATTTATAATATTGAAAAAAAAACTACTGGCAAAGGCATATGAAAAACAGAAACCCCGCAGAAAGAAAAAGGGGCGGCTGAAATATTTTGCTCTTTATATAAAGTAATAATTGCAATGTCACAAACAAAAAGTAATGATTGCAATTTTTTTTTAAAGCAATTGCAATTCATATATGAAGTTCTAAGTGGTAAACAATAAATCTTTAGAGCAAATCATAATATGAATCTTACATCCATTTAACTGTAGTTTTAAATGAGTTTTAATTAAAAAACATTATATTTCTTTTAGTGTAAAATTACAACAACAAAATTTGAATAGAAATTATGTGTAATATTTCAACTCTTCATTATAAATTATATTTAGTTGATCCTAGAAAAAGACTTATATTATTTAACTAAATAGTCAAAGATTGAATATTGAGTCTTTTAAATATTGTCCTTAATTGGTTTATGTTTGTCAATGAATAACAATACTACAAAAAAATTATACATAATGACATATAAAAATGTCATTATTATAGATATAAAAAAATTTAAATATTGTAATTTTTTTAGTGTAATATATGAAAGAGAAAAAAAACTAATAGTAGAGAGTCTAGATTATATGTTGAAAATTTTATGTTGAAACGTCATAAATGATTTTATAATTAAAAAGTATGGTTGGTAAGTAATTATGGAATTCATATTGTGCGTGATCCGTGGGTAAACCATGAAGAAGTCAATTTTGATGGTTAGCTATAATTGCAGTGCAGAAGTCAATTAATTGCTCAATTAATTAAAAACAAGTTGAGGAAACTCATTACCTGGCGGAACACGCGATGATACCAACCCAGTAATAAACTCTTTGCCTGTTCCAAAAATTCACAAGAATAATTAATTTTATAGCAACTAAAAGCCCAAGAAAACTATTAAATTAATGCCACAACATGTACTCTAAGTATTTACGCGTAATAATGTGGTTCCATATAGTTTGAACAACCGATAATATATTCAATTATGTTCACAGGTCGGATTGATAATTGATTACTTGATCAAGTATATGGATACAAGTGGTTGATTGTGAGACTTATTTTTTGAAATACAGATTTTTTTAATAAAAAATAAACTATTAATATAAATATTATAAATATATTAATAATGTAATATATTGTAATGATATAAAAATTAATATGTTAAATTGTAGTGTAACATCTATATTAATTAAGAACATATACTTTGTCCTTTAAAACATAGTCGATACTTGCAGAGAACAAAGCTAATGACAAAGATTACTTTTTCATGAACACATGATAATGTGTTTTAGTGCTTTATTGTAAGATGTAGAATCAAATAGCTTCTTGGTGACATTCCTTCAAAGTAAGAGAAACTTATTGCGTTTAATTGAATAATGTACAAGAAGCTTATTAAAAGGAGGAAAATATTGTTTTGTATCGATCTATGATTATGCTTCAAATGATTTTTTTTTTAACATGCACTATACAGACATGTCTAACTTGTTTTCCAAGTCTATTATCATAATTGCATTTTAAATATATTAAAGGTGTAATTAATTAATGTGTTTTAAATTTCGAAAGTTAAGGCGAATTTTAATTTTAATGTTACAGTAGTTTTTAATTTTTTTTATTTTCATAAATTTACTTTAAAAAATGTTTCCTACCATTTCCATCATGTATAATCTGAAAAATCTTGTTTTCTAAATTTATGGTTCAATTTTATTAATGAATTTATAAAATATTGTCACACAATTTATTTATCGATAATTTTATAAATAAAAATATCACATTAAATCTAATTAATATCACATAATTAAATTAATTTGTCACTGTTATTTATGACTCAAAGACTAATATATATATATATATA